TCATTCATGCAGGTGATCATTCATGTTAATGACCCAGCTGGTTTTCGCTCTTTCTGTTCTCTGTATTTCTCACCCAGGTCTACGTTATCATCTCTGTGTACCCCGGCTTCTTTAATCACAGTTTTCAATTTGACTTCCCTTTTACCTTTTGCCCGTCTAAGGCCTGTTGTTGGGTTAAGTCCAACCTCAGTAAGAATTAGTATTACACTCTGTCGACTTTTCAGTATTCTATATACTGACTTAAATTTAGCGTGTAGGATCTTGTATCGTGACCTTGACATTGGCTGCATTGCTCCAGTTTTAAGGGGGGTTTATTTTTGCACTTGGAAACTGGGATACAAACACATAATCTAAGTTGGTAGGACAGGGGTTGCAAGTTAGAGCTGTGCTGTCACATCCAGGGCAGTTGGCAGGTATTATTAGTCTCGCTCGCAGGCAAAACATTAGCTGAGTGTCATGGCAGTTACAGCAAAGGAAATTAAGCAGTTGTGTAAAATATTTCGTTCTGCAAATGTCTTAAACAAATAAAAATAAGGAAGCTTTTACGTTTTGTTTTTTTTTTTTTAGTGCTGCTATGGCAACAAAACCTTTAACGCATTTCATAAAATATGAGCAATGATTACAATTTTTCTTGCAGCAGAAAAGATTAATGGTTGACAATTAAATAAAACAAAAATATTGTGGACATTTAATATAATAGGGACAATGTTTTTAATATTTTATTTAGTTATAATATTTTGTTTGTTCATTAGAAGACATAGCTCACAATCAGTAGCCCATCACTAAGATGAAAAAAAAAAGGAGTGTGGCGCCAGAAGGTAGGCGCGCCAAGAGGAGAAAGCCAATAGCGGAACTACAGGGGTCGCAAGGGCCAGTCACAGGGGGTCCAGTATGTGGCTGGATGGCAGGTGGCTATTCTGCCAAAAAGGAGAACTTATATTTGTGTTATTCCAGTTCATCACTTCTGCCTCACGCACCCTGCGGTGATGCCAGGAGCCAGAATATGACGTCACTATACAGAGCGCCAGGGAGCAAGAGATTACAGGAGCCACCAGACCCCAGGGAGAGCACTCACACCAGCTCTCCCAGAGGTTAGGAGGCTGGATGAAGCTAAAAAAATAATAAATAAAATTCATTTGTGAGTGTGTCTGTCAGTGAGTGTGTTTCAAATCAGTGAGAGTGTAATTGAAAGTGTGTGTCAGTGAGTGTGTGTGTATGTCTGTCTTTCAGTGACTGTGTGTGTGATTAATTCCACACACAAACTTGGAGCCAGTCATCTATGGGCTCCAGAACCAGGTGAGCAATTTTCACTTTATTCTTTAAGTGGAAATACATAAAGTCTACTACCATCTACACTATGTTTTGCCACCTGGTTATGTTTTCCATGTACACCCACTCCATCTGAACCAGTGAAGGGGGGAAACTAAAGGTTACTGTTGCTACCTTAAAGGCACAGCAAGCGCATATGTTCAGAGCCATAGCCTCCCCACATTTGTCTTATTAAGAGTTTAAAAGGATGTAGGGGCAGCACCCCTTCCTGTCTCATCAGAGAAATTTGCCTTTTAGCTGATATCAGCAAGGTGATTTGTATGTGTTATAGCCCTATTCAGGGTAAAGTATGTAGGGGTTTATAAAACACCCCTTCATGTCTCATTATAGATGTTTATACTTTGTCTGATACCAGCAAAGTTTATTGTATGTGTAGAAGCCCTATAAAGGGTTAAATGTGAAAGGGTTTATAAAATACCCCTTCCTGTCTCATTGGAGACTCTTGGCTGATATCAGCATATCTAATGGCTAGTGTAGGAACTCACCTATTGAGGCTTGCCTTGATGTGGCAGGTGAGCTTATATATTCAAATGGCCATTGGAATAAAACTAAAGAGCTTCCATTTTGTTTAAATGTACATGGGGATTTAGGCCAGAGCGCAGGTAACGTTCTCTTTGTTTTTTCTATTCAAAATACAATCGGACCACCTAAACTCTCATACATGGTTAATTAGGAAACAAAGTTCAATAAAAGCTTTGATGTGGAAGACTGGGGAAGATTATTAGTTCAAATTACTAGAGCTTTTAATTGCTTACACAACTGGGAAATACATTATAAGCTATCCATGCACTGGAACATGACTCCACATAGATTGGCACACGCATTTCTAAATACATCCCCAATTTGCTGGAGATGTCAAGAGGAGAGGGATACATGTTTACATTGGTTTTGGTCATGCCACTTATTAATACAATTCTGGAACGATGTTCAGACAATGATCAAGGCATACACAGCAATTACCCTCTGACTGTCCTCCCTGAGCGCCAATTGGTGCAAATTGGTTTGCGCCTTTTCTCCTGATTGGCCGACGCGTGGTTTAGGCATGAAATTTGAATCACCGTCTGAAACCAAGTGGTTCTGTGGAGCTTTTTTCGGTTATGTACAGAGCCCCAAGCCCAGACTTTATTTGATTTCTCAGGCTCTGTACATCCGATCGCTCCGCTATCTGCAGGGATCATAGCTGGGACCAGAAGCTATTCGGTGATGTATGGCATGTGTGGACTGTATGGTGTGTATTTTTGTTTTTTTTGTGTGTTCAGCTTCCTGTGTCCAGAAGATACCATTATCTCCCTGACACAGCGACGCCGTGGTGGGCTTATGTTTTGTATTGCTGTATATTGAGACCTCCTGTGGGAGTTTGTGCATAAATACTGTGTGTCTTGCCTGCAATAAACAGTTCTATTTTACCCTTCACTAAGTCTTGACTAGTGTTTAGGTGATACCACGATTGCCTATCTGCAACCAACTATAATCACTGACTAGCCACTATAATCACTCTAGGGCTGGGCACAACTAGGAGGGGGCGACCACATGCATTAGTAACTCGAGAGGGTATACTACCACACTGTGTGCCCACTGCTATAACCCTAATAACAGCTACAGTGTACCCATCGTTTACACCTAATATAACATGTAATCAGTACTAACTGCTACACTTTAATAACTAGTATACCTCTACTGTGTGCCCAGTGTTACACCCCAATAACTTCAGTAGAAACAATTGTATACTACACTGTGATTTTCGTTGTCTGAAAATTCACTAAAGATCAAATATGTAGAAAAAACAAATAGAGAAAGAGGGGGTGAGAAGGGGGGGTGGCTGGGCTGTCATTTTAGGTGACTTACTAATAACAATTAATAAAAAAAGGAATACAAATAAAATGTAATTCAGAACAAGGACAATGTATCTTATTTACAGGGCTGATTTCTAAAGACATTTATTGTAGTTTAAAGACACATTATGTTGAGTATTATTGCTGTGGAGCTCTGTTATACACTGAGACACAGCAACAAGGTGGAGCTTATAGAAAAGAGGATCATTATGATAGAAAAGAGGGATTTGGGCTTAAAATAGGGACACTTGGGACATATACGAATGTGTTCGTATGAATGTTTTTGTGTGAGTATGTATGGGTATATAAATTTGAGCGACTGTTTTTAGTGTTTCCAACAAAATGGTGTAAGGGGCACTGATTGCAGAGAGATAAAAAAAAGTATACAAGAAGGGGGTATCCCACCAAATTAGATAATGTTTACAAATATGCAAAATAGTCTAGCAGGACTGGAATAGTTTCTCAAGCAGCTTTAAATAGGTCTAACCGAGGTATTTGCTAAAGTGAGAATTCAAAGTGACTTCAAGGTGAATTTCAAGGAACACTCCAGGCACCATAATAACTTCATCCCATTATACAGCGATACAGAATTTGCTGGCGCTATATAAATAATAAAATAATAATAATAATCTTTATTGAGTTGTTATAGCGCCAGGAGGCCCAAAGTGAGCCTACAGTCTCAACTCCCCCCAGACGACATCCGGCTTCTGAAATCTCAGTTTCAGGAAGCACGGAGTGCTCTCAGGTGGGGCGCCGCTGATTGGCTGAGAGCGCCACCAGATCGGTGACTCCCCATTCACAATACGTTCGCGAACAGTTTAACCCCTGAAGGTAAGAGTGCGCCCGCGATCCTCCTGGCACCATAACAACTTAATTTAGATGAAGTGGTTATGGTGCCAAAACTGTCCCTTTAAGACCACAGTAGCCCATCTGAAAACCTAGCTGACTCTGATATATTTTTCCCAGAGGTTTTTGTGACTGCACTCTGAGTTCGCTGTTTAGTGAATAAGCGAGCTGTCAGCGTGTGACTGCGAAGTGCAGGACACTGAGAGCCGAAGCTCCATTAGGCATTGGCCAGCCTGGCACTCTGTAGCCGGTTCCTCTCTGATTGGACGGTTCCCCTGTCACTCCAGGACCAGATTGTCTGATTGGTCGCTTGGCTTGTAGGCAGTTGAAATGTGATTGGTTACTTTGCCTGCGGGTGATGTGATTGGTCAGGGAGTTCAGAGACCGGAAGTGTTGGTGGTGTTGAGTTTGCATGCGCCCCCTAGGACTCATTAGTCGCTGGGCCTGGCGGGCGGCGGGTCACGGTGAGTGTGGGGGGCGGGGGGTGGATTTATAACTACAGCTATTACCCCAATTACAATAACAGATACAGCTATTACCCCAATTACACTGTACCCCAATAACAGATACAGTGTACCCCAATAACAGATACAGCTATTACCCCAATTACAATAACAGATACAGCTATTACCCCAATTACACTGTACCCCAATAACAGATACAGCTATTACCCCAATAACAGCTACAGCTATTACCCCAATAACAGATACAGTGTACCCCAATTACAGCTACAGCTATTACCCCAATAATAGATACAGTGTACCCCAATTACAGATACAGCTATAACCCCAATTACAATAACAGATACAGTGTACCCCAATAACAGATACAGCTATAACCCCAATTACAATAACAGATACAGTGTACCCCAATAACAGATACAGCTATAACCCCAATTACAATAACAGATACAGTGTACCCCAATAACAGATACAGCTATAACCCCAATTACAATAACAGATACAGTGTACCCCAATAACAGATACAGCTATAACCCCAATTACAATAACAGATACAGTGTACCCCAATAACAGATACACTATACCAATTACAATAACACTGTACCCCAATAACAGATACACTATTACCCCAATTACAATAACTGATAGTGTACCCCAATTACAGATACAGGTATTACCCCAATTACAATAACAGATACAGTGTACCCCAATAACAATAACAGATACAGTGTACCCCAATTACAATAACAGATACAGTGTACCCCAATAACAGATACAGCTATTACCCCAATAACAGATACAGCTATTACCCCAATAACAGATACAGCTATTACCCCAATAACAGATACAGTGTACCCCAATTACAGCTACAGCTATTACCCCAATAATAGATACAGCTATTACCCCAATAACAGATACAGTGTACCCCAATAACAGATACAGCTATTACCCCAATAACAGATACAGTGTACCCCAATTACAGCTACAGCTATTACCCCAATAATAGATACAGCTATTACCCCAATAACAGATACAGTGTACCCCAATAACAGATACAGCTATTACCCCAATAACAGATACAGTGTACCCCAATAACAGATACAGCTATTACCCCAATTACAATAACAGATACAGTGTACCCCAATTACAGATACAGCTATTACCCCCAATTACAATAACAGATACAGTGTACCCCAATAACAGATACAGCTATTACCCCAATAACAGATACAGCTATTACCCCAATAACATATATAGTGTACCCCAATAACAGCTACAGTGTACCCCAATAACATATACAGTGTACCCCAATTACAATAACAGATACAGCTATAACCCCAATAACATATAGACTGTACTCCAATAACATATAGAGTGTACCCTAATAACATACAGTGTACCCCAATAACATATACAGTGTACCCACCACACCCCAATAACTGGCAGTGTACCCCAATAACAGCTACAGTGTACCCACCACACCCCAATAACTGGCAGTGTACCCACTGCTATAACCCAAATAACAGCTACTGTACCCCAATGACAGCTACAGTGTACCCACTATATACACTCAACATAACAGGTAATCGGTACTGCTACACTCTAATAACTAGTATACCTCTACTGTGTGCCCAGTGTTACACCTAAATAACAGCTACTGTGTGCCCAGCTATCACCCTAATTTACAGCTACTGTTTCCCAAGAACAGCTACTGTGTGCCCACTGCTATAATCCCAACAGATACTGTACCTCAACAACCGATGCTGTGTGCCCACTGCTATAACCCCAATAACTGCTACTGTGTGCCCACTGCTATAATCCCAGTAACAGAAACTGTACTCTAAAATCAGCTACTCCATCCCCACTTCTACACCCAAATAACATCTACTGTGTGCCCACTATGGACCCCCAAGCAAAGTTTGTGTGCCCACTGCCATTCACCCCAAGACCCATTACTGTGTGTGGACTGTCATACTCCCTAATACCAGCTAGTGTGCCCAGTGCAATATAACTCCTTAGCAGCTAATGTGTGCTCATTGCTACATTGCCAATACTAGCTCCCGTGTGCCCAATGCTACACCCCCAATAACAGCCACTATATAATGCTGATGTGTGCCTACTCAAATACCCCTAGTTGCAACTGTGTGTCCACTGCTATACCTCAAGTAACAGCTCACTCCAGTGTGCCCAAATCTGTACTCCCTAATAACCACTACTCTGCCTGCTGCTACAGAGACTGTGCACGATGCTATATTAATATATATTTTAGTCAGTGCCCACGCTATAACAATTTGCACACGCTGTTGTATGTTCAGATAAATAATCAGGTTAGTCCTCTGTTATTCATCCACAATAAGTGCGTTCACTGCTGAATATGTACAATAATAATAAAGCTGTGCCCACTGCTTATTCCTACACTCCCACATTAGGAGCTGAGCATTCCCTCTGCTGTACTCCATTATTACAGCAACTCAAGCCCACTGCTCTAGCCTAAGAATAACATCTAATGTATCCTGCCTGCTGTATATATATAGGATAACAGCAAATGTGTCCATATGTTGAATTTGTTCGGTATGGTGGCTTGTTTGACCCTCAACTATTTTCTAATCTGATTCAACAGCTGGTCAGACAGCCCTCTAAGTTGTTTATTTTGGGGTAACCTCCTGCCCCAGATACTACTCGTTATATGCCCTCTGCAGTACTGATTTTAGTGGCAGTTCTATCTGAAACTGTATAATTAAATATTAAGTGCATTACAGCATTGTAGCTTCTGGGAAATTGCAAGTATATCCCCTATTTCGGTTCATTTGTTATATTTATTACTGGTATTTATGAAGCGCCAACATATTCCGCAGCGCTGTACAATTAGGGGAGAATGGACAATATACACAAACAAATGCAAAAGGTAGAGAGGGCTCTAACCGTAAGCTGTGATCTAGCCATTGAAGCTGTTTTATACAAAGTGCTTAGGTAGATAGTCTGTAAGCTTACACTCTAAACTATAATACCAGTTCTATGCTTGTGGCAACATTTGATTACATTGTAATTTCAATCATCGCTAAAATAACCCATTCAATGCACTATGCAATACCATGGCTACATACACCCACCCTCCCGGTGCCCATCCAAGTACATTTATATCATCAGATAATCTCTCATTCCATACCAGGCTATACTGAGAATAGCAAGCATTCCCCTTTACTGGAACAATTCCTGGTCTGATCTCATTCCTCTAAATACAGCACAAAATAGATTTGCGTTCCCTAAACTGACAAACAAAAGCTCCGTTGGCTGCTGCTATTCGAGCCTATAGATTCCTTTCCTTTTATATATTATCATTTTTTTTCTCCATCTAACACTTGATAGTTGCTATATCTGGAACAGTAACGTGGAAGGTATGTGTGAACACTGTAATGCAAGATAATCACTATTTTTAGGGAGCTTTGGTGACTGTTTGTGTCCCTTTGCTAACTTTAACAGATGGGACCGCTAATATCCCCTAACCTCACATTGGCTGTTTGTGATCTTTAGCATCTCAGTGACGTATTATGTGAATCCTGAACTAATCACTGCTCACTTCACTGTTTCAGAAAGTTGCGTAGCATTTTACAGCTCCACCAGAGCTTATAATGTTGCTCCTCAAAGTTCCTGAACTGCATTTTACTCATGTACTCCTTGCATGTCAGCAAGTGGTGTAAACCATTGAGTTGTAAAAATAGAGGTGTGTGTGGTGGGGTGGGGAGGGTGACAGTCCCATTAATAAGCTGTCAGTTAATTCTCTGCATTGCAGACTCCGAAACACTCGGGCACAGTGAAATCTAACCCTCTGTTTAAATACGGCAAGCCCCTACTCACGGGGTCAGGTTGAAACTCTAAATGCATTTATATTAATGGTGCACAACAGGACAGATCATACCTCATCAGCTACGCAAGTTTTTCGAGAAGTTAAAGAACCAAAGCTTGCCAGGTATGCAGTAGATTTGTTGTTGTTGTTTTTTTTTTTTAAATCTATAACTAAAACCAAAGCCGAGTCTTTTCTGATTGTGCGTACCGCAAAGTACGCAAGGATCCTTATTCTTCAATGTGAACAAACCTGACTGTCAGAAAACAAAAATGCAGCATGATTTTAAATCCAACATTTTCCTTTACATGGACAATGTCCAACATTTTTATTTTTGTTGTATATAACAGATTTTTAAATCATGTCGACTGAACTAGTGGAAGATGAGTCTCAATTTTACTGCAAAGCCAAAAAGTACTGGAAAGCTGTCCCAGCCACTGTGGACGGGATGCTGGGAGGATACGGTCACATATCCAGTATAGATCTCAGCGGTTCCAAAAAGTTTCTGCAAAGGTTTATTCGAGTGAGTATGTCTCCACCCGTTGCTAACGTCTGGTGTTTTAGATTCTTAACTGTTAAAATTAGATGGCTGAATCAAATGCACATTCTGCTTGCTCAGCTGTGTAATCCAAAGGCACTTGAGTGATTACTGGGACAGACTGTTCTATCTAAAACACAGTCTAATTTCCTGGGACAGAATTTCACATTTTTCAATTCGCTGAACTTGGTCATAGACTTGATTTCTTTACAGGCACTCATGGATTATAGAATTTAAATTAGGAGTTTAAACCGTATCTCACATCTGTTGGGTAATAGCTTAAATAAGTGTTTTATTTTTTTTGTGCTTTTTTTTTTTCTTTTTCCAATTTTTGTATTTATTTTATATTTAGTATATTCATCCATGTAAAGTCGACTGATATGCATGGTTACCAGACCACGCATAGTCACCACCAATCAAGAGAATCTCCCATTTTGGTGGGAGAAGTTTATCGGTTATGTCCCCAATTGCCGTCTTGCTTATTGGATCTGAGGCGGGGGAGGTGAGAAATTGCACAGTGTGTGCACATCTTGAACAGGCATCGGCAATGTAAAACTGCATCTTCTTGATTGACAAGATGGTGGGAGGAGCTATGGCTAGCTAAGTAAACTTGTTTTGTTTATTTTACTTTAATTTGTATTTATAGAACAAAGGAGCAAGTCCATGAACTGTTATCAGTTATGTGACGATATGAAATATTTTAAGTTTTGCTGCCATCACAAAAATACATATTCCATTATTATTATTATTTTATTATTTATATAGCGCCAACAAATTCCGTAGCGCTGTAGAATGGGTGGACTAACAGACACATAATTGAGATCAGACCACTGACGTACAGGAACAGAGGGGGTTGAGGACCCTGCTCGATGAGCTTACATGCTAGAGGGAGTGGGGTATAGTGACACAAAGGGTTAAAGTAGGGGAATTAAATAGTTTGTTACAGAAGGGTTTATTGAGTGCTTGGTAGGTCATTTTTGACAGTTGCAGGAACAGAGTCATGGGGTGGGGGATGAGAAACCTGCTGACAGTTTAATTGATACGCTTTAATGAAGAAGTGAGTTTTCAAAGATTTTTTTGAAGGAATGGAGGCTGGGTGAAAGTCTGATTGAGGAGGGAAGGGAGTTCCACAGAATAGGTGCAGCCCTGGAGAAGTCTTGAAGGCGAGCATCAGAGGTGGGGATCTGGGCAGAGGATAGGCGTAGGTCTTGGGTTGAGCGCAGGGGTCTCGACTGGACATACTTGTGTATGAGGGAGGATAGGTATGTTGGAGCAGCATTATGTAGGGATTTGTAAGCAAGCGCCAGAATTTTGAATTGGGCCCTATATCTAACTGGAAGCCAATGCAGGGACTGACAGAGCGTGGAGACGTGGGAGGTGCGACCGGACAGGAAAATAAGCCATGTAAGACCGGTGAGAAGGGGATTGCAATAGTCAAGGCGAGAGAGAACAACAGCATGAACCAGTACCTTAGCCGCGTCCGGCGTTAGATATGGGCGGATGCGCGCTATGTTCTTGAGTTGGAAGCGACAGGATTTGGCTATCGATATGACATGGGGAGTAAAAGAGAGATCAGAATCAAAAAGAACCCCTAGGCAGCGAGCCTGCGAGGTAGAGGTGATAGTAGCGCCATTGACTTGGATGGAGATAGATACAGGAGTAGCAGCACTTGAGGGAGGAAAAACTAGAAGTTCTGTTTTGAACAGGTTGAGTTTAAGGAAGGTGGGCGGAGAGAGATCAGGGGAGGACAGGTAGATTTGCGTGTCATCTGCTTATAAATGATATTGGAAGCCAAAGGAGCTGATGAGTTTACCAAGGGAGGCAGTATAGATAGAGAACAGTAGGGGGCCGAGGACAGAGAGGGGTTGGGGAGAAGAGGCAGAGCCAGAGAAAGAAACACTGAAAGAGCACTGGGAAAGGTAGGAGGAGCACCAGGAGAGAGCAGTATCCCGTAGACCAAAGTTACGGAGAATGTGAAGAAGCTGTTGATGATCAACAGTGTCAAAGGCGGCAGAAAGATCAAGGAGGATCAGGATAGAGTATTGGCTGCGAGATTTAGCAGCAATTAAATCGTTGGATACTTTGGTCACCGCAGTTTCGACAGAGTGACCAGCGCGGAATCCAGACTGAAGGGGGTCAAGCAGAGAGTTGGATTCGAGAAAGTCTGTCAATCTGGCGCACACAACTCTCTCGAGGATCTTGGAGGCAAATGGCATTAGCGAGATAGGGCGGTAGTTGGATGGGGAGTTGGGATCAAGGTTGGGCTTTTTCAGAATTGGGGTTACGGTTGCATGTTTGAAGGGGGTGGGAGATGTGCCAGAGGAAAGGGAGAGATTGAAAATGTTAGCGAGAGGAAGAGCAAGAGAGGGAGACAAAGTGCGGATGAGATGCGAGGGAGCAGGTGGTGGGGCGGGAGGACAGGAGCAGAGCAGAAACCTCTTCCGCTGTAGCAGGTGCAAATGAGCATAGGATGGCAGGGGGAGTGGGGTTGGGTGACGTATTGATAGGGGTAGGAGAGAGATTAGAGATCTCTTTCCTGATTGTAGAGATCTTATCAGTGAAATGAGATGCAAAGTTTGTGGTGGACAGGGTGGTAGAAGGAGGGGGAGTCACTGGGCGAAGAAGAGCATCAAAAGTGTGAAACAGGTGTTTGGGTTGATGGGACAGTGTGCTTATGAGGGTGTTGAAGTAGTTTACTTTTGCAGAGGAAAGAGCCATGCTGTAGGAGCGCAGCATAAATTTATAGTGGACAAAGTCAGATGAGTGACATTACTGTTTACAATATATTATTTTATATTTAATTTTATGCAAAACTATGTACATGGTAATATATACTTTTATTAGTGGATTCAAAGGTATTTTACTTGCATTTTCTCAGTCGCACCGCCAGTCACCTTGGTAAAATTCCACCTCTTTGGCTAAGATCATCAAGGTTGATGATCTCAGCCAATCCAATGCTTTTCCATAGGCATGTACGGCAAAATGCAGCCCTGTACCAATTATTTGATTAAAATAGCAGGATTTTAATTTTTCATGAGAGCGTCTCTAGCTGTCATATTGACGGCCAATACAGGCAAGTTAACCCTGCAAAGAAAACAATGTTGTTCCTGCAGAACAGCAATGATTTAAGCTGCAGAGTTAAAACAGGGGGTGGGTGGGGGCATACGGCACCAAGACCACTTCATTGAGTAAAGTGGTCTGGATTCATATACTGTTGCTTTAAGTAAACACATATTGGGAAGATGCATTGTAGTGCTTTCATATTCTAGTAGCTGTGGAGCTTAAGATAAAACACTGCATCCGTGATATAAAAATAACAGCTGTCAAACTAAAAACAGTTTCTCACTTGAAAATTCTGTAGGATGGATCACACAAGATTGGAACATCGTACGCTCTGGACTGTGGCGCAGGAATTGGCCGGATCACAAAGCGTCTTTTGTTGCCCGTCTTCAAGTCGGTGGACATGGTGGACATTACAGATGATTTTCTAAGCAAAGCGAAGAGTTATCTTGGTGAAGATGCAAAACGAATCGGGAACTTCTACTGCTGTGGCCTACAAGAGTTCACACCAGAGCCAAATCGCTACGATTTAATCTGGATACAGTGGGTTATTGGTAAGGAGACAGACGTCTCTTTTCTATTGTCAACATCCAGTTCAAAGATCTCATGTTTATTTTTGCTACTTTGTTTTATATTCATCTGATTTTTTTATTTTTTATTTAACCCATCTTTTCTGCGGCAGGACATTTGACAGACGCTCACCTGGTGGAATTCTTGAAGAGATGCAAAGCTGGCCTACAGCCGAATGGCATTATTGTCATCAAAGACAACATAACTCAGGAAGGTGTCATCTTGGATGATGTGGACAGCAGCATCTGCAGAGATATGGACGTTTTGAAAAAGATCATTAAACAGGCTGGCCTCTCTTTTTTAGCCCAAGAGAAACAAGAGAATTTCCCAGAAGAAATCTATCATGTGTTCTCCATTGCTATGAGATAAGCTTTTGGAAAATAGTTTCCAAGACTTGTCTGTTTTTTTTTGTTTTTTTTTAAATTAATAAAAAAATAATCTTATGGTTCTTGAAAAAAAAAAAAAAAGATATCTGCAGCATGCTGAATTGCAAAAATGTCTGGTACACTGGCCAAAATACTGAAAATATGGAGCTCTGGGCCAGGAATGAACTGAAGTGAGCCAATAAAAGACTTCACTGCAACGTTACGGGCAGAGCTGGCACAGATTTGTGTCATAACAGTGGAGCAATCAGTCGCTTGGCAGAACATTAAGAAACTTAATCCTGTAGAGCACTTTCTGCGTCCAGATGTCCCTTCAGAACAATGCGAAGCACTTAGCCATACAATACAGAGACCGTTTACTCATTCCTGTGTTTAAACAAATTTCAAATTAAGATGATGATGATGTTTGGACTTGCTTTTGTCTCCCCCTTCCCTTCCCTTCCACCCCCCTCCCCCCCAAAAAAAGAAAATGTGCCATTATCCCGTGTCACTGTAAAAGAAAGGCTTATTTTAGTGGGTCAGTCGTCATTTTTAAAGCAATGGCTGGCATGCATACAAGGTCAATACAAAGATTGAAATTGATGAAAAATATTTTAATATAAATTATTTTTCCTTTGCTAAAATGTATACACGGGCCCTTGATTTATTTCCTTAATTTCCTCAAGTGTAACTTGGTCGTGCATATGATGAGTGATAAAAGATGTTGGCTTTATGGTCACATTTATACACAAGCATGTAAGTACATTTTTAGTAATATTGCGGATATGTAATATGATATTGGGGGACATAGACATTACACAGAGAATACCTGGAACACCATGATGCTGCTGAAGTGCTTTTAGTGTGTTGCCTTAGGTTCCCAAACCAGAAAAAGCTGCTACAGTGATCTAAAGAGTAAACCACAAGCTCTGGGAGCTGCGTCACATACCGCACTGGTTCACCAGAGAGCAGGGCCATGATCATAGATCATTCTGGACCACCAGGAAACTGGTATCATAGGCAAGAGAGGGGGAGCTTTTTGGTTTATTTACCAATTATTGCATCGAATGGGGAGACTGGAACAAACAGCCTCAACACACCGACACACTAGTTGCCGCTATCCACAACTCACAGCTGCCCATACTGCAAGCCGCATCACACACTCCATCTTCCCCCACACAACTCATTGAGTTTGGATAAATAAAAATGACGTGTTTAAAGGGTCACTCCAGACCCCTAAACAACCTTAGATTGCTGAAATGCTTTGTGTTGAGTGTGTCCTTGGTTTTTGGTTTTTTTTTTGCAAAAAGTGCAGATTTCAATAGAAATTTACACTTTTATAAATTAACCTGGTTACACCCCCTTTCAAGCCGAGAGCAAGTAATGTTACTTCCTGGTTTCGTTAGCTTAATGCAGCTGACTTCAAAAGGCAGCAATTGCCCAGAGCACCTGACTTACAAAGACTTCTCATTAAGCTGTATTGAGAAGTCTCTGATTGGACAGCCACATAAAGTCTGGGCGGGGTTAGAAGGGGAGAGCTTGCAAAGGTTGCAGAGAAGAGACCTGCAGTTTGCAAGTTGATTTTAGATATATCCCCAATGAAAAAATAAATACATAAATGCACGTCTTCATATGGAGTATATCTATTAAACAGTGATTTTTATTTGGGCATTGGAGTGTCCCTTTAAATACTTAATAAATATTTACCTCATATTAAATTTTAAAATAATATAAGGAAAGAATTCTCAGGTGCAACCCGCTAAATGAAATGCGATGTGCGAGTTTATGGTGTGATTGCAGAGCACTGATTGATGGTATGTGGAATATCTGCAAGCGTGATTTAAAGGGATTCTCCAGTGCCAGGAAAACATATTGGTTTTCCTGGCACTGCAGGACCCTGTAGTGCCCCTCTCCCTTCCACCCCAAGTTGCTGAAAGGGTTAAAACCACTCAAGTGCCTTACCGGAGTCCAGCGCCGCCTACCTACTCTGGCCGCACACACGCATTAGACCTCCCCATAGGAAAGAATTAGTTAATGCTTTCCTATGGGTATTTCGGCAACGCCAGAGGTCCTCACATAGTGTGAGGACGTCCAGTGTCGTATAACACACTTTTCGTGTTCTAAGAGGACTTAACCCTGCAAGATAATTATTGCAGTTTATGAAAACTGCAATATTTACAGTTGCAGGGTTAAGGGTAGTGGGAGTTGACACCCAGACCACTCCAATGGGCAGAAGTGGTCTGGGTGCCTGGAGTGTCCCTTTAAGATGCTGCTTCTAATGCAAAAAAAGCCAAATCTCTCCCAGTAAAAAGCAAGTATTTGTAACAAGTACTACATGGATAGAGAGTCTTTTGGGTGTTTGGTGTAAGTGTTGAATTGTAAGGGATAAAATGGAGTATTGCTTGTTGGAAAGTAAATTAAAGAAGTGTGCTTCTTAAAGTGACACTATAGGCATACATACTTTAGTTTAATGAAGCAAGTTTACTGTATGGTTAATGCCCCTGCAGTTTCTGCTAATCCTCTGCCACTCATAGTTATATAGTACGTATAGCTGGGCCTTCATTCTGCTTCTGGTTTCTTTGGACAGGTATACACTGCATGAACTTAGATCTACCCTCTGATCCATAAAACAAATTACTCCCCCTTTTCTAGTGCTGAGTCTCCCATGGCGCTGCTGCGTCCTCTTTCAGTGATGTCATCCTGGAGGGGTGCCAATCCAATGTCATACCAAGAAGGCTTGGAGGTGTGCATTGAGGCCGTGCTTCTAAGCCCTCTAATTACCTAGAGGGCTTTGAGGGGAGGAGGGGGGGAAAGAATTGCTAGTACTTTGACAAATTTATTAATATGAAGTTGTCAAAGTGCCTACAGTGTACCTTGAAGCCTGAGCAGCAGTGATTGGCAGAGAGTGCCAATGCTGGTATGATTTGGTATGGCTGTAATAAAGTTCGTAATCTCTGCCTTAGCCATGCCTCTAATGTGGGCTGGGTACAGGAAATCAGGGACCCTTGTTCAGTGTTAAAAACTGCTTGAAAATGGCTTAACTGAATAGAGGGACAGCACCAGGGGGATTCAGGAACTGTAACTAATTTAATGAGATGAAATAGTTATGGTGCCTCCAGTGTCCCTTTATGGATTATACTAGCAGATTCCAGTTTTCAATAATCTGATCACGTTAAAGGTCCCTCTTCAAATCTTGAGACCTTTCATTTCACTGCCTGGTAACTGAAAGGATGATCCTCAAGATGAAGTAGTAAAAACCTTACTGCTTTCTACTTTTAAAAAAAAGAATCAACCAATATAATTCTTCCATAGCCAATAGTGATTATTAGTTGCCTTTCTTGCCGATAACTGGTACCGATACTCTGTTCATATAAAGTTTTGAGTAGGCAAAACGATGTCTACACAAATCTGCCATTACCTGAACATGTTTGTTTGGGTTTTGTGTGTGTGTAAACCTTTCTTATATTGAGTGACAATGTAAATCCACAAAATATGTATTGCCATGTTGCAGCAAAGCAAAGATGATCCAATCCACACATTTTATATTTTTAATAAGTATGTATTGGATCATCGTTGTTTTGCTGCAATCTGTTAAATAGCAAAATAGACAATTGGACCACTCAGTCAGACAGCCACAGACATCTACACGCTCTGCATGAGCACATCCAGCATCCGTCAAATCCCCATAGGAGGGCCTAATGCGCTCGCAGCGTACGCCGCACATTAGCACTCCCACATAGGGTGACGGCGGAGGGGTCGGAGTGCAGACCCAGTGCCGAGTGAGATTGTAGCTGGAATCGGGTTATTACAGAAAGTCATTATTAAGCCTTACACTGAGGGGGGGTGCGAGTAAGTTTGTATTCCTAGCACTATAGTATTCGTGACATGATAATAAAGATTAAAAGTTAACTGTTGAGTAATGTGGCTCAGCCAACTTATTATATCTGAGTAAAGTGAAGGGCTCTGGGTTATATAACCAATTAGACATGGGCATAATAAAACAAAACAATAAAAATAATAACAATTGAGACAATGCGGTCATAACTATGGCGATATAGCCATACCATACAAATATAACAGATGGGTACACGGAACAGGACCAGTCCCCGGAGCAGTCCAGCTCAGTCAGCTTATGATGAGTCGACTCTGAAGGCTTGGTTCTGGATTAGGGGATGGAGGCTTTGGCAGACCTGCCACCATGCTTTGGGAGACCTCAGAATAGCTTCCAGGTGAGAAGGTGAGCCAGGATATAGAACTAAGCTAATCTAATCTTAAACCATAGAATTTGTTTTAAAATACTCCCAGTTAAGTAGGACTACGTTGGAATGCAGAAAGCACAAATTTTCAGCATATTCTCTTGTTAAATTACTTCTGTTTCTTTCTTATATTGCAGCCACTTCACTGAAAAAACCCTCACTTGGTACAGAAGAGGGTGGAGAACAAAGGTATCTTCTGGCATAAAAAGCAAGTATTTCGAGGCATGCCTCATTTTCCTTCCACCACTGAAGTGGATTGTCCTTTCTTCTATCAATCATTGGTTCCTTCAAACAGAGATGAAGCTCATCATCAAGGGTTACTTTGGTACAGTTACACAAAGCCCCAATAAAACATTGAACATGGCATCAATTTGGCCACGATGAAGACTCTTGTTTTTTCCCCGCATGTTTTCTTTTTGGGAATTTGTTTCTGTAGCATCCTGCTCTTCCAGGCTTGTAGCATGACTTTCCAGTAAGAAGAACCTGCACCTCCTATTGAATATCTTCTGTGAGCCATACTTTTGACCTGGCCAATACGTTATCAGAAGACAAAGCATGATTCGAGGAACTACAAGACATGCCACCACCATATTTTTATTCTCTTCTCAATATTACTTTTTGAAGCTGTCCCTCGTGACCTGCGTGAGTGTTTTAATGCCACGTGTAGTGGGCCCTTCATTTTCTTGAAAAACTATCTTCAGCTCTCTCACACATGGAATCACAGACGATAAAGATGAGTTGTAATGACTTACTTCTAAGTCTCAATGAGATTGGCTACAATGTCCCACTGATCAGCATTAGGACAAGAATATCCTCCATGTTCACCTGAAAAGATGCTAAGAGTTTCCTTCTGTTCAAGAATTCTTTGCAGCACGTGGATGGGTGGAATCTGGTTGGTTTTGGGCAGGCCAAGGTCTTCTTGAATGCTCTTCAGTCGTTGCTTGGCAATGACTGAATGGTGGCAATGGCTTGCCCATTTCTTTAGCATGGCAACAATGTCAATCACAGTTCTCTGGCTTTAGAGACCATTATTTACCACCGGTTACATGGTGTGTGCCATGCAGCTGAGGTATGAAATCTCAGCAAGTCTCATTCCTTTCACCATGTGTGCTCCGCTTTCTCTAAGCACAATCATCATTCGATCTTTGCTTATCCCCTAGTCATCAAGCATGCCTAGAAACGTATCTTGAATGTATGCGCCAGTGTGGGACCCTTGCATCACCTTTGTATTTCAACACCAACGGCCTTTTTGTCCACCCATTGCCAATGAAGTGACACGTAAGAGTCATTAGTGACTCTATTAATCTGGACCAGCAGTCAGTAATGAATGAGAGTGATTTACCAACATTCTCTGGTTACAGCATAGTTTTTACTTTCTGAACCACCTTGAATCTTTACCGGCATTTCATTTCTGTTATACTTTTCATTCTTCAGTGAGTATCTTGGCTCAGCTATGGACATCGAGTGCTTCAAGTCAGTCATTGTAAATGGTTGGTTATCTGTCATCATTTGGGATTTTTCTTTTTCATCAGAATTTTACCACTTAGTGTGTTTTTGAAAAATGTCTTTTATTGTTGGTTGGTGTTTTATGTTGCAACTCGATTTCTTTTATTATTTGTGAATTCTAAGATGGGTCCATCATTTACAGGAAGCACTCTGCACTTCCATGCAGATTGGCGCTGGAGGCAAACTTTGGGGTTAAACTGTTTGAGAACAATTTATCCCCTTAAGCTAAGAGTGCTCACAGAGGTCTCCTGGCACCCAGACTACTTAAAGCAGCACTGTCATGGCTGAATCCCGTTTTTGTTTTTTTAACCAACCCTTCCTGACCCCACTACATCTAACTGACCCCTTAGTCACCCCCAAATGCCCCTAAGCCTCCCCATATTACCTATTTTTTATCTTTATTTTCTGCAATGATCTATATTCTGGGTGCCGCCACCTTTGTGTGGGTAGATGAAGTCCCTGTGGAACACGTCATCTGCCCACACTAGATAGCGCTGTGAGATTCCCGCACATGCCCAGTGAAATTCTTGGGCATGCGAACAGGAATTTCATCCATTCATTCGTCAGAAAGACGAATGAATGAATAGAAATTTCTGACGAACAAACAAACACTGAATATCAGTGTTCGTTTGTTCGTTTAGTTTATTACAAGGAGGGAGCTACTGGCGCGCAGCTCCCTCCTTGTAATATGTAAAGATAAAAGCGGCAGGGAACAGTGCTCCACGCCACTTCTTAAGCCCCCCCATGTCCTCCCTCACTCTATAATAGCATAAGGGAGATTAAAATCTCCCATATGCCCCTAATTGCTATACTGCAAGTAGGGGCATGTCTACTAAACAGTGAGCAGCCTGTGGCTGCTCACTGTTGTAAAAAGGGGGGGGGCCTTTTTCCTCCCCCCCCTCCCGAGCCCCCACCCCTTGCGCGGCGGGTGGGGGTCCTAAATAAGAATGTGTTGGGGGGGCCTACTGCCCTTATTAAGACAGTAGGTCCCACAATCACATTTGTGGCCCCCACCCGCTGCTCAGGGGTGGAGGCTCTAGGGATAATGAGGTGTGTGTGTTTTTTTTTTTTTTAACAGTGAGTAGCCACAGGCTCTCCTCAGGATGCTCACTGTTTAATAGACAATCTTTACTTAGTATTAGTAAATGTGGCTGAAAGACCAATTTAGGCCTTTTGGTAGATAGCTCCCTGATACCGTAGGAATAAGGGAGTTATTTACTAAGTGGCTACAAGATGCAGCCACAGCGCAAATAGGATCGGAGTTTCATCCATTCGATTTAAATTCCGACACAAAGTCCCGAATTGCGTTCTAACACGAATGGAGTAACTGTTCTCATTCTGTTAGGACGCAATTCGGCAGTTGTGCCGGCGTTCTGTCCAAGTGACAGGTCGCTCGGCAATACTGACAGGAAGCATTTTGGGAAGAGGGAGGAAAGCTAAGAATTATGGGAAAATTTCTCTGACCACGGGAAATGAAGCACACTTTGCTCCTCCGCTGGTCATGGCGTGGAAACCTCCAGAAGAGAAATAGTCCCTACTTTGTTTTAAGTTTTAAAGAAAACTAGAGCAGATAGGAAGAAATGAATAACAGATCCTGAGAGAGGGAGAGAAGAGGAATCGATTGGGGAAAGGTAAGTTCGGCGTGATAGTGCCGCTTTAATTTCAATTAAGTGGTCTGGGTGCACTACCCCTGTTTAGGGCCGGTGCAAGGAATCCCCCCCCCCCCATATGTTCTGCCATATAAGACAACGCCAGTTCTGCACGAAGTGTCTTTTATCTGAAAAGGCAGTGTGTGTTTATGTTACAGTTAAAGTGAAAAATCAGTTAATGTGCACATTAACTAGTTAATCTGCAGATTAACTGATTTGCTCAAAGTGTGGAATCGAGAGTTTTCCGCACTTTACCTAGGTAATGTGCACATTAACTGCTTCGGTCTAGTTAACGTGCAAAATGTTTGTGTCTAGCCCTCGGTAAAAAGAGGAATTGTTTATTACAAAGAACAACGTCCTTGCAGAACCTGTTTCACCCTTTCAGTGCAGTCTCTGCAGAGTCGTTCACTTCTCGTCTGAAGGCAGAAAGATTCTGTGTGAACCTGTCTCGGTTCTTTTTGTGAGCAAGTTCCTTTCAATGCCCTCCACCATCAAATTCTCAAAGCATAGATGCATGGCTTGTTGCTTCTAAGAGGGGGGCTGGCTACTAACAATGCTGCTCCGTAAGTCTGAGAAATACTTCTCTCATTGAGGAGAATGAGACCAAGGAGAGATCTGCTCATGGACCAATGATTCTGACAGTCTTCAAATATATGATGATATTGAGAACAGTGGAGAGCATCTGCTGGGGTCATTTCAGGGTGGTTGCTGCATAATGTGCATAAAGCGCTCGCTCTTTTGTGGTGGTGGGGGCTCCTCGTTTCTTAACAGTTCGGGATAACTGTTTGAAGAGGTATGTGACTATGTGGTCCAGACAAGAACAGAACAGCAGCCTGTGCACATCATGGTATCCTCCAGAGCTGTGAGCCCCTCAGAGAGATGGAGGACAGAATGATTTTTTTTGCACTTTATCAAGTGCCTAGTAGGTAATGTGCAGATTACCTAGGTAATGTGAGAAATATTTGAGAAACGAAATCATTTTCTGCACTTTAACTGATCACCCTAGTTAATCTGCAGATTAACTAGTTAATGTGCACATTAACTGATTTCTGCACTTTAACCGTAACATTTACAGTAAAACACCTGCAGGCACAGGCTAGAGACACCAGAACTACTTTATTAAGCTGTAGTGGTTCTGGTGACTATAGTGTCCCTTTAATGTGAGGTAAATTAGAGATTAGTGTCACTAATAATATACTAGATTGTCTACTTACCACCAGATGAGGATAAGAGGGTGATGATGGGCTCAGGCTGCAGTCTGGCACCACAGGTCTGGTGTAGAAGAGGATCTCTGGAGACTGTTTGTAACAGTGCTCACAAAAATTAACAAGGTCTGGGCCCCCGGGGTCTGACTGTGAGTAGGCCTACAAGGCCCACCCATATGGCCCGCCCATAAGTTCTCTCACAGGGAGTGGAGTGTGTGGCGAAACCAACCTCGCCACTGTGAACTGGAGAAGCCTGGAAGCTCGCCTGCTCCCTTTGGACTATGGCCCTGCAGGTTAAACCGTTTATTTCCCCTGCAGAAAGGCTTATTTGTGTGATCTGAGTGCCATTCATCTAATATTGTGCACTCAGATCCCAGCTATCTGGGGATATGTGAAATGTCTGTGTGTTATGTGTAAATGTGACTTTATGTATCTTAAAGTGTTTTGTGTCTGTTTGCAACCATGTGCTTAATGGAGTCTTGTGTCTATCCTGGGAGATAATTGAATTACTCTCCAGGATAGAAGACTCTGAAACTGGTTTGGGCCAGAAAGCCATGCTTCATTTAGTCACAAAGGACTTTCCCTTAACTTTTGAACCCCTGGTCTGATTCGTGCCATTTTTTAATATGTTGTTCCCCTGAATGGATTGATTATGAAAATGTATGTTTTATGTTTGTGACATGTATATTTTAGAAGTTATAAATATTGTGTAAAAACTGTATTCCTCTGCCGGTGATAATGAGATTACCCATTGTGTTCAGTAATCATATCACCTGCAGAGGGGAGGATTTTGTGTGGGAGTGTCTGGGTGTATTGTACGGATTGATTGGTTGTTTTGTAACGCCCTGTGGGCTGTACTATGTTTGTGGATTGGGAATAAAAGAGACTGTATGTGACAGTACAGAGAGTTCCTGTTTTAACCCTCAAAGTGAAGTGTCGTCTCATTATTGGGGGAAGGATTTATTGTATGCTGTTCCAGTTTGACTGCTAGGAGAGTAAACCTATTCGTATGGTTCCTATTCCACTGTCTACAGCATTCATATGCTTCTCCGGTTCGGTGGTTGTGGTGTCTGCTGCAGTGCTTGGAGTCCTCAGGAAGCGCTAGGAGCATCCTTTAACGGAGGTACCCAGTCGGGGTGCCAGGCGATCCGTTACAGAGTGTGTAGGGGTAATCCAGACGTGGACCCCTTGCTCACGGTGCCTCAGCTATGCCTCACTGATGATGCCTAACAAGGCTGAAACAATCATCTGGGGTTGCTGTATCTCTCGTGCAGAGAGAACTTGCTGGCATTTCGGATCTGGACTGCCCGTATGGGTGGGACCAGTCTGATATGCTTCAGATATGTTCTCTCTGTAATGGCACAAGATGAGCTAAAACCAGCTTGCGTTCTGAGCAGGGACCCACCGAAGGGCAGGCTATTTTAGCTGCTGTCTGTTCTCAGAATAATCTTGCGACCCATTTTTGCTCTTTGTTTGTAACAGTGCTCACAAAAATTAACAAGGTCTGGGCCCCCGGGGTCTGACTGTGAGTAGGCCTACAAGGCCCACCCATAAATCCACCTACATGGCCCGCCCATAAGTTCTCTCATAGGGAGTGGAGTGTATGTGTGTAGGGGATGTGTTATGTGTTATTGTAGAGGATGTAATGTGTGTGTTTTCTTATGGAATGTAGTGTATAGGGATACCAAATTGTGTAAGTGATCTATTGTGTAAGGAATGCAAGGTGTGTTTCTGTGTGTGTAATTAAATGCAGTGTGTGTCTGTTTGTTTATTTCTGTGTGTGTGCGCGTGTAAGTGATGCATTGTGTGTTCCGGTGTGTCTGTGTGTGAGTAGGGATGCATTGTATATGTGTGTAGTGTAAAAGAGAGGGTTTGTGGGGTAGGATAAGAACTGAGAGTGTAACCGAGTAAACTTGCAGAAGCAAGACACTGAGAGATGGATGCAGGTCTTCAGGAAGTAAAAAGTCTTTATTAACATACCGATCGGTTCTCAGATGAATTAACATTCCAAAACAGGTCTGAGGGCTGAACACATGGCGTACATGCTTTTTATAAAACTATAACTCCTCCCAATAATAGCTCCACCCGCACATACCCTTAACTAATCGGTGGACAGGATCTGGATTTCCTTATATGGGCAGACCACATGGCTCATCCGAAACAAAGGAGAAAGGAATGTGATTTCAGTTCCTGCATTCCTGCACATGCTCAGTACATTGATGACAGTATCTTAGCTACGTGTAACTAACTAACTGATACAATATACACATGTACTTACATATGCCACTTGGAAATCTCGGCCTACTAAATTTACATTTCACCGAAATTCCATCACAAGAGGGGAGCAGCTCTTTATTTTTTTTTAATAGTGCTCTCCCCTCCTGTCAATTAGTGATCTCCCCTTCTGTCCCTTAGTGCTCTCCCTTGCCCCCTGTCCCTCTGCAGTCCCCTCTTGGTGGTCTCCTCACTCCCCCCTCTTCCCCCACCTTTAGTGGTCATCCTCTCACCCCACCCCCTTAGTAGTCCTTCCCTCCCCCCCTCAGTGGTTCTTACCCTCTTCCCCCACATTGTGGTCCTTTCCCCCTCCTCCCCCCCTCAGTGGTCCTTTCCCCTTCCTCCCCCTCAGTGGTCCTCCATCTGCCCCACTCTCCCAAACCCCTTAGTGGTCCTTCCCTCCTCCCCCCACCTCCTTAGTGATCCTTTCCCCCCTCCCCCCTCAGTGGTCCTTTCCCCTCCTCCCCACCCCCTCAGTGGTCCTCCATCTCCCCACTATCCCAACCCCTTAGTGGTCCTTCCACTCTTCCCCCCCACCCCAGTGGTCCTTTCCCCCTCCTCCTTCCCACCTCCTTAGTGGTTCTTTCCCCCTTCATCCCCTCAGTGGTCCTTTTAGTGAGTGAGCGCTTCCTGTCATTCTGCTGGCGGCCGGGTACAGGAAACAGAAGTTCCTGTCCCGCGGCCCGCTACATTGACCGGCATTGAGTGACCGGCAGGAAGTAGCTTCTCTGCTGCCAGTCACCTAAATCTAGCGCCCCCCAGGCCGGTGCGCCCTAGGCAACTGCCTAAGTCGCCTATAGGACACGCCGGCCCTGCCCCTTCGTGTTTAAGCCTGCAATGTAGAACATTAATGTTGTTTTGGAACAGCAATGTTTACATTGCAGGTTTAACATGCCTCTACTGCCTGTCTTGCTGATGGCCACTAAAGAAGCTTCCTCTGTTAATTATAATTTGAGATTTAGTCGACTAAAACAATTCAGATGACCAAAATACGACTAAAACTAAAATGGCTTTTTAGTCAAAAGACTAACCCTAAATTAAAATTTGTCTCCAAAATTAACACTGGTGGGTAAAACACATGGGGCAGGGAGGAGAGTATGTGAGACACATGGGGGAGAAAGAGACAATGTGCTGGGAGGAAGAGACCCCCAAATGGGGATATGGAAAGACACACAGATTGGCTGGGGGTACAAAGAGCCACAGAGGGAAGGGGGGCAAAAGAGACAGACAGGGGCAAGAGACAGATAGAGGCTTTAGCTAAACCCATTAGATTTTAGTTGTGTCAACTAAAATCTACTGGAGATTTAGATAACTAAAACTAGATGACTAAAATACGACTACAACTAAACCGAAATTTCCAGCCAAAATTAACACTGGTTAGAAGTTAAACTTGATTATAGATCAAATGCTGGTCATAGAGCAAAATGTGAGTGTCGCAATGCAGCTTTTTGCCTGCATGCGTACTAGCCTCTCAATGCTTCCCAGTGAGAAGCAGCGAGGAGACCTGAGCGCCGTGGGCTGAAAAGTAATACTCACCTTTGAAACCCTCACACAGGAGAGGGAGGGGGACAGAGAAACTAGATAGGTTGCAGGACACTATAGCGTTAGAAATACAGGTTTGTGTTTCACCAAAATTCCAACCCAGTTAATAGATATACAGAGAGAAAGTAAGGAATAATTTGTCTCTGTATTTCTCCTCCTCCTCACTTTCTTAGACACAAAGCAGAGTCTAAGAGTCAAATGCTGCAGCTGTGTCTATGGACCTCCATAGACCTCAATGCTGTACTCTCACGCATGCGCAAGAGTACAGCAGTAACGTTGGTGCCGAAGAGGACCACACTGGACTAAGATGGCGGCGCCAGCGTGGGACAGGTTCATGTAAGTAAACTCACCTTTACCTGCCCCCTCCACAGCCACAAGCGGTGATGTCATGACCAGGTACAAATTCAGTGACAGTGCCGCTTTAAGTAGCTTTTGCTCACATTCTCTGAGTATTTCAACTCGACATATGCTGCAGTGATGAAAATGCCCTATAGGGTACACCTAAAAATAAACTTACTTTGAACCAAGTACTGAGCCAATTTCTCCATGATTGTTTCCCCGCCTTCTCATGACACCAGTTTCCGCCCATGGTTTAATAAAATGCACATAGAAGCATGGTTGTACCACTGTACCCCACACATGAGCTGCTAAAGACTGCCCTTCTCCCATTCGCTGAGGACTGTTTTAGGGTCTGGCATAAAGAAGGGAGGTTGGAACATTATATCGAGCAGTTATTAGGTACACACAGTTTGAACAGGCTTCTGCTTTAAGGTGTGCTCATAGCCTGCCTGCAATGGAAGAACCTGATGATGTCTGTCACCAACATGAAGACGTGCAGCCGACGGATGTCATTTTTGCACAGGACTCAGAATAATCTATCTGCAACATAGTTCTGGGCTGACTAAGTTTCGTGTGCAGGAGGTGTAATTACACCCCTGCACAAAATGACAGATTTCTCTTTATATATAGTGTTTCATGCCGAAATACTGCCCATACAGATTGCTTGCACCATGACCATATCTAAAAGCAGAAGTGGTCACAGTGGCTGAAGTAAGCCTTTAAAGGGAAACTCGATGTCAAAAAATGCTGCTTATTTCTTTATTTACATGATTAATGAAACAGGCGTTCTCTCAAATTGGCACAAATATTACTTAAGCAACCAACAGACTTTCCTTTCATTAGATACATACAGATAAAATAATTGGGGTACCAGCTCTGAATCTAAAAGACCAAAGAAACGGCATTTATAGCTTAATACCTTTATTTAAAAATCACAGGTATAAACTTATTGCACTCACTAGACATGGTAAGCTAATAGCACAACTGGTGCCTCCCCACGATGTAGATGGAGGGATCCACTTCACCTTTCACCACCAATTCTAATCAATTACTTCCAGTATCTAATCAATTACTTCCCTTAGGAAGCGTGATATTCACCAGGGTTCAAATTTCTCCAAAAACAGATTTTATTTGTTAAATTACTTTTTTCTTAGTGCTAGACCATATCTAATCAAATACTTCTCATTTGAGGACCAATCTCCAGTCCACAGTGTAAGCTTAGATGATTCATGTAACAAGACAAATTCATAGGTTAGCAGGGGTCCTCAAACTCTGCCCCCCCAGATGTTGCTGAACTACAACTCCCATGATTCTCTGGCTATCTATGCAATTCAAAGAATCATGGGAGTTGTAGTTCAGCAACATCTGGACGACAGTTTGAGGATCCCTGGGTTAGAGCTTTAATAGTTGAAGCACCGTTTTAAGTATCCATTTTTTTTTTAAGTGCCCATTCAAATAATTACTTCTTATATAAATCGAACGTGGACTAAAACTCAAATCATTAAAAAACCTCTGTGAACTGTTAAGCAAGTAGTTGCCTCACTATCCTGTTACATTAGATGCATATTTTAACTTCCATCAGCTTCAGCTAAAATATCACTGAGCATGCAGTAGTCCAGCGGGGACAGGCAACTTCTTGCACTCAATTTAATGGGACATAAATTCCCAACAGAGTGGCTTGTTTGTTTTCCTTCCTGATATTTCCAGCCAAGAAGAGAGTATTCAACCTGGCTGATTTACAGCCCTGTGAGTCAGCCATGTACACATAGAAAGGAAGGTATTTATGTTCAGAATTAAACATTTTTTCAAAGAATAGTTGCAAGGACAGGGACTTTGCACATTAACCACTTCAGTAAGTTAGCATGTCTGTTTAAAGAAACATTCCGGTCACCATAACAACTTCATCTAAATGGAGCACACATTTAACTTAAAGTAAATCGTTCTTGAACGGTTTAACCCCAGAGGTTGACTCCAGCTATGTACCTTTTTATTATGACTGGGGAGCTACTGATTGGTTCAGAACGTCAGCGGACCACGCTTGCCAGTAAGCGGCATCCCTCCATGCATTCTGTAACTCAGACTCTGAAGGATGCCCAGATACCGTCTGGGGGACCTGCAGATAGGTGCTGGAGGCAACCTTTAGGATTAAACCATTCAGAACAGTTTAACCCCCAAAGGTAAGTGTGTACCCGGTGGCCTCCTGGCACCATAATAACATAATTTAGATTGTTATTATGGTGACCAGAGTGTCCCTTTAAAACAAAAATTACAATTACTTTTTAAAATTAAAAACACCATCAAATCTGTCCTACTAAAGAAATTTTAATGAGAAGTCACGGAGTGAAGTATTTTTGATAATGCCATAGATACAAATGTTGCGAGCTAAATCACAATATAGACTAGCAGGAAAAAGGGAATTGTGAAGACAGAAAAATAACAGAGGTTGGTGGTTGCAATAAGGCCAGTAGGAGATACAGTATCAGATACTGATCCTTATTGACTGAGTGCTTTAAGATCTTTTTAATGAATTTTTCACAATTACACTATTACCAACATTTTTTTTTTACGATAAACATTAATTCACTATAGGCAGGGGGCTAATGCTCATATTGAAGAAATATTATGGTGAATGAACCCATATCCAGAACATCTACATACAGGCTATAGTTTGCTTAGCCGCAATTCTACGTCACACTGCGGCTCCTTTTGGCCATGTTTAGTCATCCATTGCAATCCAGCAGTGCAGCTAGGAATTTTGGCTACTGCCTTAAAGGTACACCAGGGAAGAGATCAGCACTTCAATAACTACTCTTTTTTACACTTGGAAGCCATCAGGCTGCTCTAGTGTTAAAAAGTGGAGGGGAAAAAATAGGGCGTTTAAGAGGATGCTTTCACTTTACCTTTAAAATCCCTTTTAATGAAAAAAGGTAGTTAACATTAAACAAAACAAAAAATGCATAAAACTTTACTCCCAGGGTAGATGTTTATTGGAATAGTTTATTTTATCCTCTTCTGTTTTTGATTTGAAAAATGGCAGACACATGCAGAGATGATTTTTTTATGTTACAGCTAGGCAACCTTTTGCAGATGCCAGTGGGAATAGGTAAGGGCAGGAATATATCGACAGTGATGAGTTACATAACAATGATTGATGTGTTGCTTTCAATTTACAAATCTTCCTCATTTGAACAGGAAGCTGTGTGGTTGAGGAGAAGATACCATTTTAGTCGGTCTGGAAGGGGTAGGGCTTTTACTTTCACATCAACGGGCCAGGGCCAGAGCCTCTGCCGAATGTACACCCTACACAAGTGTTTCAGTGTAGGGAAAGACTGCTCCATTTGTTTTAGGGAATGTTGCAAAGCGGTCACTTTCTCAGCATGATTTTTACAACTCGCTGTGTTTATTTCAAAGTTTCTGGGGAGTTTGATGTGGGGAGAATGTGCTACCATAAGGTCCAATGCGCATTCTGCTTTTTGCAGCAGGTCCACGGAATCGCAGTCCTCGCAGCTGCCAAGGTAACTACACAACCTGTCCAACACTATGTGGCAGCCAGACCAGCACGAAGGGCCGTGTTGAGAGCAATTGTAAGAAGCCCCTGATTCCAACAGGAAACGCAGCAGTGGAAAGTGGATCTTGAAATTCTTCAGGCATGTATGAGTGAGAGACTCATGTGATGGACAATCGCTGGGATCTGCCCCGTGAGCCATCAGGAGCTGAGTTACTTGAAAGCAGAAATGATTGATGAGCTTGGCTTCCTCTATGTCAGAGCCTACAGTCTCTCCCAATAAGAATATAATGCAAGTGAATACGGTATCGTAATCCTTTGTGGTGGCCTTCACATCAGATCCTGAAAATAAAAATGGAATTGGATAAATTGGTTGAGTTACAGACAACATGATATACACACAAATATACAGATACAAAAAGTAAGAAGATTGTCCTGCTCTTTTCTACAAATCTCTATGCATGACGGCCCATGATTTTAGAATAGAACATATCTTCTGCTGGCAAAAATTGCAATACAATTTACATCCCTGTTCCCATGAGGCACAGCCAAAACTTCAAATATGACTTCCACAATGTCAGAGACAAAGCCTTACACCAGACAATATGGTGTGCTATTCGGCATTGCGGGAGAGCACAAATGCAAGCACATGCAGAAACTGATGTAAACTTCACGAAGTATAATATGTATACTTGTATAAGTGATTAACCAGAAAACAGAATTTTACCTATCATAAATTCATTTTTCCTGAGTGTTTGGGGCTGTGCTTAAGTTTTGGTAACCCATTCCACCTACAGATAGCTACCCTGAGCAGTAAACAGAGCCCCTTGACCTGCAGACTACTAGCCATGCAAAATACACATATACTGCAAATAATTTATATAATCATTAAGGAAGGAGACTAGTATTGCCTCAAATACTCATGAAAAAGGATTACGATAAATAAAATTCAATTTCCCCCCCATTGTGCTCTCAGCAGTATTTATGTTGGGATCTTGCCAGTACAAATGTGAGGGTCAGAACATCTCAAATATTCAAACCACCACCTGTAACACCTAGAACCCAGTACCTTCTGAGGTCCAGATGATAATATCTGGAAAATTTGTGAAGGGAAGACAATCTAAATTTGGAGTAGCTGGAGCCTTCATTGTTCAGGGAGTGGCGGCGGACCTGATTAAAAGCAGTAAACCATACGAATCAGTTCCTTAAAGGGATACTATAAGCATCAAAACAAGTTTAGCTTAATGAAGCAGTTTTGGTTTGTAGATCCTTGGTATAGATCATGCCCTTGCAGTCTCACTGCTTAATTCTCTGCCAATTAGGAGTTTAATAACTTTTATTTTATCCACACCTCCACTGGTTGTGACTCAAACAGTATGCATTAATGAAATAGTTTCATTTTCAATCAAATGTTAACTAACATTAGAATTTTGTATTTCCTATTCTGTAAATTGATATTTAATCACACACAGGAGGCTCCTGCAGGCTGTAGAGGGCTATTAACAGAGCAGGAGATAATTCATTCTAACTTAAACAGACTGGTGCAATAAAGGAAATTTAAATGTTAGATGGCTCTTTACAGGAAATGTTTAGGAAGATTGTTTAAGTCACATGCAGAGAGGTGTGACTAGGTCTGAATAACTCCTAAATGGCAAAGAACTGTGAAACTGAAGGGACTTCATCTATACACCAAAACTGCTTCATTAAGCTAAATTTTTCTGGTGACCAAAGTATCCTTTAAATTCAATGGACAGAAAATGGTGAAGTTGGAGGCGGAGAACCACTTTTTCCTCGTGAAAAACAATGTAAGAAGGTAGAGATGAAAGCTTGTTATTCTCCCAACTGTGTCGCTGAAGAGACCGCTACCAGGAATACAGTTTTCAATGTCAAAAGGTTTCATGGAATATGGTTCCATAGGTTCAAATATTGACTCCCAGATGGAATTCAGTAATTGTTTAAGAATCCAACAAACTCAAAGCACAATCTTCTTTACAGGTGGACAGCTATGCAAAAGCACCTTAAAAGGATCTACAAACTGACTGAAACTACTCCTTGCCTGATCTGCTGCTTGAAATGAACTAGAACATACCAAATCGCCTGCAGTTTCTTAAAATTTGGTGATTAGCTTAGATGCAATGTGAACCTAAATGAAGTCCACAACCTTCTTTTGAAGGATTGGTAGTGATGAGTGCCCATGTGGTATCATGGTATGGTATCATTTTTCCACCATTGGAACTGTATTATTGTTCCTGGTTAGATGCAAATTAAATGATCAAAGGAATTTATTAGAAGATTTCCCTTCTTTGAAGAGTCTGTGTAATTCAGACTTGGAAAATGTAGCAACATCTTCAAAATAAATACTTAAAGTGGCTCCATTACCGTCAGGGTTATTTGCATAATTTTCAAAAAGCCCTGATGGTGACTGCTCTGCAGGCAGTGTGGCAGCTGGAGGGGGCAGGGGAAGGGTTCTAGTGCAGAGTTGTACTTACCTGAACCTGTCCCTTGCAGCCACTGCCAACTGCTTCCTGTCAGTCCTCATCAGCTCCTGGAGCTTCAGCTGCCAAGTTCCATTGTCAGCGTTCCACTCTCTAGCATGCGCAAGAGTACAACACAGATCGATGGAGACTGTGGGATCCTCCATAGACAGAACCTTTTCCCCTCCGACATCACTAGTGACAGGCAAGGGACAGTATATTAAAGCCCAAATGGTAGGGTATCATGAGAACCCTGGTTCATAGGAGCCAGAGGTTGCCTAACAATACCAAACAGAAATCTGAAGTCCTCATGTTTGTGATGGGGTCCACACGCAACTCTCCATTTCTTTCTTGTAACCCACATGTTATGAATTGTGGTAACGTAGCTTCTTGCATTAACAGAACACAGAAGGTATAATTACATTCAGAATGCTTACCTCCCTCCAGCAGTAGCCGGATATTTTCAATATTGTGTATTTGAACTCCATCGCTACTGGCCAACGCATGCAATAATGCCGTTTTTCCTGCCAAATTAAAAAGAAAAAATCTTACAATTAAAAATAAATGAATAAATAAAAGTAACATTTGTAATATTAATAAGGGAGCCGGAACTCTCAGTGCCAGTGTTGTTATCCAAGTTGTGTGTGAGGTATATGTGGACTGATCTCTCTCTTAGAGAGAACTGCAGCTGAGCTCAGGCCCAGTTAACTAAACGGCGTGCCCACAGTATAACTGCTATAAGTTTTTAAAGCAGTTCCACTCATCCTTTGTCATGACTTGACCAGCTGCTGTGAGAAACTACTTATACTATAATGTTATCCTGGACAGAAGTTTATGGGATATGATCAAACCCAAGAGACCAGAATGAAAGATTCCGGATTGCGTCTTACTTGTGTGTAAGTGCAGTAGGATCGTTAAAATGCAGTGTTTTTAAAGAAATTCAAATTAATTATTTATCTATATAATACATTTGTGACTAACCGTCACGTGTTCTTGGAGGGGCCTGCTGGCCAGCCTCTTAAAAAGAGACTATGGGCCCTTTAAAAAACAATGTGAACAGACTTGGTTCGTGGGATTCTATATTTGGTTCGGGAACCGAACAGCAGCACAAACTGGAGACCACCCTGGAGCTTGTTAAGCCTAATTGCTACTTTGTAGCAATTTCCACCGCAGTGTTTTAAGTGTTCGTCTGGGTGGCCGCAATTCCCTCCATGAGGTGGTGGCCATCTTGTTTGCATGGAAGCAGGCAGCGGTGTTTGGGCACGAATCTCATGTAACTGAAAACGGACACGGAAACTCCCGAACCCGGACTTCCAGCATCGCCTGCGTTCGGTTCCACAACACTTAGAAAAGCGCTGTTCGGTGGAAACGTTCCCACGAACAAGGGGATCAAGCTCCAGGGTAAGACTATTGACTTTGGTTGTTTGTTCGTTTTTAAACTACTGAACTAGACCGACCACAAGCCCTGTTTCTCTGGAACTGTTTTGGGCATGGGACCATGCGGGCGGTCGGTCAAAATTAAGACTTCCAGGAAATTCCTGAACTGATCTGGTGATTTTTGGATATGTTGGTCACCCAGATCAGGGCTATTAGGGGATGTAACTTTTGTGAGGATTTTGTGTGTTTTAAGCTATTTGGGAGGTTTTGTAAAAATGTGTATGTTTTGTGTTTGGAGATATTTGAGTTTAGTATAATGCTTGACTCAATTATCTCCCAGGCATAGAGGAGGGATTAACTTATTTTGTATGGGAGTGTCCTGGACCTGAGAACCAATGTGATTGTGTATTTGTTTCTACTGTGGTTTACTCTCAGGTCCGGAGGGTGCCCATTGCATGGGGACTGTCATAAAAGGCCAGTTGTGGCTACCATTAAACAAGATTTGTGATTTGTTTTACCCTTCATGAAGTCTAGGCTCATGTTTAGGGGATTGGAGAGCTATATTCACACTCTGGGGATTGCAATAATCACTATACTCTCTTGGATCATGACATTTGCTCTTGTAAGAGCAGCCTCTCTGTACTAGGAAAGGTCTACCCACTGGAAGCTGGATCCTGGTCTTGGGTCCAGGGTGGGTGGAGGACAGCGAGACCCCAACCAAGCTGCCACGGTTTGTGGGGTTTACGGTGCTCGCAAGTACTAGGAAGCAGCGATTGACAGAGGTACCCAGTCGGGGAGCCAGGTGGTCCATCACAACATTAAAAAAAAAGAGGGTTAGGTCAGTATTTGAATAATGTTTTGCTTAAAGTTAAGAAACGATTGTAGGGCTTGAGTTGAAATTAAGTTAAAGTCATTAAGGTGACTCAGGTGGGGATGGGGTTAAAATTAATTTACAGATGGCTAAAAGGAAAATAAGAGAATGGTAAAAACAGATGGCTGCAAATAAGGAAAAGGGTGCAAGTGGAGAGAAAAGGTTTCTCCCTGTCTTTCCCTGCCTGCATAGCCTCAGTTTAATCTGTGGTACTTAGTGGTACTAACCATTTCTATCAGCTGCGTTTACATCCGCGCCAAGTTGGAGTAGCCTCTGTAAACATGGAAGCCGCTCTGGTTCCTCACTAGCCAAATCCAAAGGGCTGCTTTCGTGGATCTGCATATCAAAAATGATTGTATGTCAAGCATTATTATTCAACAATACCATCAAACCAACATTCTAATATTACAAGGATGTTCTAATCACCAAAACCACTACAGCTCACAGTGGTTATTGTGTTATAAGTCCGATTTCCTGTCAAAGCATTTTCAAGCAGACAGAAATTTATATTTGTCAATATTAGACACCTTTACAATATAGTAATATAATCAATATTTTGCAGATTAAAATAATAATAATAATGCACTATAAAAAAAAAGACCTAATTCTCACCCTGTCCCTTTTGTTAATATCAGCTCCGCTCTGTATTAGCAGCTCCACCATGTCTGGCTGGTTCCGAAGGACAGCAATATGCAAAGCTGTGTAATATGTTACAGGATCTGCAAAAGGCACAATGGATATGATCACTGAGTGAAGCAATGCAGTGTAAACACCAAAAAAATCTATACAAAATTGCCGTATCTTAATCAATCAGACTTTAATACCACCAAGATGTCCTTTTGCTTTAGATTAGAGGTGGGAAAGCATAATTTGAGTTTTATATCATACAAAAAGGTTTCTGGCAACTTTATAAATTATTTTAAAGGGAAACTCTACACACATTGAAGTGGTTATCGTGCCTGGTGCCCCCTAATCCAGTCCAGTGTCAAAACTGTTTCAGACTGAATGAGGATCCCAGGTGCTTCCACTTTAGCCCGAGCAGCGACTGGTGGCTGTGACAGGCTGAGATTGTCAACTGAGATTAGGTGATTGGCAGCCGTGATAGGCTGACAATCTCAGCCTATCACGGCTGCCAATCACCTGTGTGAATTGTTATGGCTGATACAGAGTTAGGGCCATTGGAGTCTCACTCTGTATCAAACTGATCAAGAACAATTTAACATCCAGACAGCTCCAAAGATGATAGCCATTTTAATGAGATTAAGTGGTTGTGGTGCCTAGTGTGACCCTTGTATACACACACACGTGTTGGTGTTTATATATATAATTGTTTATAAACAATGGAGAAAACCTCCATATGTAATGAGGGAACATTTCTCCCCCAACTACTTCAGGGCTTTCTTCAGGAAATCAGCCTTTCGTGGTTGCAAGGATCAGTAGATACAGTTTGACGTCTGCAGATTTCCTGAAAACATTCAGATCTACTTTTGAAATGCAAAGTAAATAAAACATTGCTTTGTTTATGTAAAAAGGCACTAGAATGTCTCATTTGAATCTCTGCTTCTCTTTGTCTTGTGACACATATTACAAATTTGTAGTAAATAAATAATACATTAAAAAAAAAATAATAATTCCAAAAATAAAAAGAGGGTAGTTTTTTTGTCTAAAGGAATTTAGTTTCTAGCAGGATTATGCACTGAACAAATAAGGGTGCTGAAAAAGGTTAGGTCAGAATAACAAAGCTGCATTTTTAAATAGTTATCTCTTGATTAAATCAATAACTCTGTAGGTGTCAGCATCCATTTCAATATCAAAATAGGACTTTTATCAGTTATTTACTATACACTAAAGTGCAGCAAACTAAAATTAAAATTGTGAAAAATAGGCAAAAAAAAAAAAAAAAAAGCTTGTGATTATCACCATGTTGGAGACAATTTCCCGATCAACGACTATGGACAACATTTTGCCATTCGGATTTAAAGGAAAATTCCAAACATCATTACTTTAGTAGTTATGGTGCCAGGAGTGCCCTGGCAACCAACTTTCCCCTTGGGAGACAGGGAGTGAGGGACTGAATATACCTAGGGACAGGAACAATAAAGCATTAGGAATATAGGTTTATATTCGTAATGTTTTAGTGTTCATTTAACAGTCCTGGTGCAAATAATTCAGTTCATTTTAACTGAAGGCTGATCTGATTTTAAAGAACTAAAAACTAATAGAAGATCATCTCAAAGAATAAATGCAGGCTTGAAGAGGAAAGAGGATGAGGGAAAGCATGATATTTACCTTCAAAGCTGAGATCCGCACCATTCTGTAGGAGGATTGCAGCTGCAGGTACAGACCCTAGCTCAGCCACCTTCAACAGTGAACAGCTCACACCCTCCTTGTAAAATGCAGACTGTGAAAGTTTTTCAAGCAATTCATTCAGAGCAGCAAACCTGTCACCATCTCCCACCAGGTAGCTGCCACCAAGCAAAAAAGAGAGTGTAGATAACTGATGACTAGATTATTAAAATGTCTTTACAAATGAACCAATGAGCTTCTGTTACCTTTCACTAGCGACGCTGACCTCTGGCTGCTCTGGGTCACGGATGCCCACGGCCCGGAGGATCTCATCCACCAGAGGTTGATATTCAAAGATAATCCTCCGAAAACCATGGAGGAATGGCATGATGTCAGAGGAATCAGATTCTGTAACAAAAGTGAAAATGTTTAATTCTCTTCCTTTAATGCAAGGTGTGCTTGGACTGATGTCATTTGCTAAATCTTTACTATAAATTTAAAAAAAAAAAAAAAAAAAGTGTAATACGTGACAAAGGTTAACACAAGTTATAGATCACTTTTAATGTTTAATTCAATTATGTAATTTTCATATAAGTGATATTTCCCCTTTAACACAAATTGCCATAATAAACAGGTTCATAAACCCAATTCTTAACCCTAAGCAATAGAAAACGTGCCTATGATACTTGCTCTGCCAGTTTAGTTTTTTTTTGTCTTTCTTGTACTGTGGGGCATGCCTCTATTCATCCAAAAGAGTCACGAGAGGTATATGTATGTACTTATGCTCAGTTTGCACTTCCAGGATTTTTTTGTGAAATTGTTACCGACTCCAAAGCTCTGGTTGTCAGTTCCACCACGTTTCCTGGACAAATATTACTTTAGACTTAAAGGAAACATATTGATTGACAGGATATAAAAAGGAGTTCCATAAAGTAATATGTTTGCCAACTTTGGAATGTATGCTGCTGGGGAAGAGGGGTTAAGCAGGTGTGGTGTTTGCAAGTGACAATATGAGTAACTAGTGATGTGTCCAGCCGATGCACGCCATCCTGGCGCATATACCAGCCTGGATGACAGGCTGCAGGGTAATGCGCTCAAGCTGGGCTACTGGTATACGGTGCACTACTTAAAAGAACACTCCAGACCGCTGAAGTGCTTTATGTGTGAAGAGTGTATCCTGTGTTTTTTTTTTTTTAATTTTACAAAAAGTGCAGATTCCTGTAGAAATAGGCACTTTTATATATGAACCTTGTTACACCATCCTGCCTATCAATCAGACAACTGATCCTGCTACTTCCTAGTTGTTTAGCTCAGGGGAGCTAAACTCAAGGGGGCAGGGGATTCTAGCCGAGCCACAGAAAGTCTGGGCTGAGTCAGAAACAGAGAGCTTGCAACTGGTGCAGACAAGAGATCTGCAGCTTTTGTAAGCTAGATAAACCCCCAATAAAACAAATGCTTAAAAGGACCACTATAGGCACCCAGACCACTTCAGCTTAATGAAGTGGTCTGGGTGCCAGGTCCATCTAGGATTAATCCTGCCTGCTGTAAACATAGCAGAGAAACTGCTATGTTTACATATGGGTTAATCCAGCCTCTAGTGGCTGTCTCATTGACAGCCGCTAGAGGCGCCTCTGCGCTTCTCACTGTGATTTTCACAGTGAGAAGACACCAGCGTCCATAGGAAAGCATTGAGAATGCTTTCCTATGGACTGATTGAATGAGCGCGTGGCTCTTGAGGGAGGGAGGAGAGTCCCCAGCACTGGAGAAAGGTAAATGTTTAACCCCTTCCTCCAACTTCAGCCCAGCAGGATGTGGACCCTGAGGGTGGGGGCACTATAGTGGTCCTTTAATTGCCAGTAAATGCATGCGTGTTTTCATTAAGGGTATATCTACTAAACTGATTATATTTTACTATATTTCTCTTTAAGGAAGCATTGATATTCCCCCTACAATCATCACCTTGTTTTGTATAAGCACATTTAAACTTTTACTGTACATTTCACATCTGATCAAAGATAACATCTAGGAAAGCAAACAGTGGCCCCAGCCCTATTACTGTCCTGCTGTTGAAAGGTAGGTAGTATAAAGTATGACGAGTGAATCCAATAAACCTATCAAGTCCGTTAATATGTGAAGGAACAGTTAGGAACATTATGCATTGACAAAAGGGGGTAACCCGAAAAGACTGCTGTATTACACACTTTCTCCTTCGATACATTCCTGTAGCACTTGTGCGTATAGCATTTGGTTGTGTTGTCCTCAATCTTTCATTTCTTGTATAATGTCCTGTTTTGAGCTGCAGTGGGAGGTGCATGCAACACAAAAGGAACTTTGGCATTTTTTTATATTTTTGTAATGCAGGTACTGCAGTAACATATATTGTAAAGCGCTACGGAATCTGTTGGCGCTATATAAATAATAATAATATACCTCTATCTGGCCAACTGTGTGACTCCTCACTGGTAACTGCATGCCTTGCCATACTGCAGGCTGTGAATGAAACCTGCTCTGCAATGCAGCCCTGGGTGTGGGTATGGTATCCATGGTGCAATGTCTGTTTTTTGCCCCCCCCCCCCCTTCTTGGTGCCCAGAGTGAGCCATGGGTGATGTAACCAGGCACCCTACCTGCAGCAACTATAACACAGCAGGCATCACTAGCCTCCACGTCCATCTTTATCTACAACCATAAGCACTGCAGAGCCCACTGCCGTGACGTCACGCACCGATGACGTCAGCTCTCACCGAACCTGGAATCTAAGTGGGAGGCGACCGAACAATGATAAATAGCTCGTGCTTTTATATCCCTCGCCGTGCGTGTCGTTTTATTTCGCAGACCGTAACTGAAAGAATGAAAGAAATAGCAACGCTCCCCCCACCACCACCTCACCTGCGGTCCCTGGCAACCAAACCGGAAGCGGACGTGTAGCAACCAGCAGAGTGGCTGGAGGGGAGGGAGTGGCTGGAGGACTATGTATCGTACCATAGAGAGGGATGTGAGAAGGGCGGGGTAGAGAGTCGCTAGCTGTGGGTTGGTCTGTGCAGCAGAGTGTGATAGAGAGCTGCAGAGTGCATGTGTAAAGGTTGGCATTGCAGGCTGCTCTATCTCTCTCTCTGTGTGTGGCTTATTACAGGCAGGAGTGCTAGCCATGGACATGTATCCCTCTGCATGGCTAACAGGAGGCTGTGGAGCTTCAAGGAACATTATTTTCAAATGCTTTTTGTTGAACATTTATAATACAATAAACATTATTTATATTTAAAAAAAAAACTTAAACTAAGGGAAATGGTAAAGAAAGAAAAGAAGGGGGAAAAAAATAAATAAATCTCTCACTTAGCACAATATGGCATACATGTTATGTTACTTTTGGTATTTAGATTACTAGGCACCCCTTAAGGAACTTTAAATTAAAAATATGTTATTGTTTTTAATAATTTAGTAGATATAATATCAAAGAAAACGTGTTTTTTTTATTGCATATTATCTTTGGGGATATATGGTGGAAAAACTGATTGCAAAGCTTTAAAGGACCACTATAGTGCCAAGAAAACATACTCGTTTTCCTGGCACTATAGTGCCCTGAGGGTTCCCCCACCCTCATGGCCCCCTCCCGCCCGGCTCTGGGGAGAGGAAGGGGTTAAAACTTACTTTTTTTCCAGCGCCGGGCGGGGAGCTCTCCTCCTCCTCTCTTCCCTTTCGGCTGAATGCGCACGTGCGGCAAGAGCTGCGCACGCATTCAGCCGGTCTCATAGGAAAACATTCAGAATCACGCAAGCGCCTCTAGCGGCTGTCAATGAGACAGCCACTAGAGGATTTGGAGGCTGGATTAACCCTAACATAAACATAGCAGTTTCTCTGAAACTGCTATGTTTATTTTAAAAGGTTAACCCTAGCTGGACCTGGCACCCAGACCACTTCATTAAGCTGAAGTGGTCTGGGTGCCTAGAGTGGTCCTTTAATGAAGTGGTGTGGGTGCGTGAGAATCTGCAATGTTTACATTGCTCGGTTAAAGGACCACTATAGTCACCCAGACCACTTCAGCTCAATGAAGTGGTCTGGGTGCCAGGTCCCCCAGGTTTTAACCCTTCAGATATAAACATAGCCGTTTCAGAGAAACTAGCAGGGTTAATCCAACCTCTAGTGGCTGTCTTCCTAGAGGCGCATCTGCGACGCTGGATGTGAAATTCGCACCCAGCGTGCAGAACGTCCATAGGAAAGCATTGAGTTTGCCACGCATGCGTCTTCCGATCCACTCAGGGGCTGACGTCGGCGGGGGAGGAGAGGTCACAAGCGCCGAAGGAGCCCGGCGCTGGATTAAGGTAAGTGGCTGAAGGGGTTTTAATTTAACCCCGGGAGGGGGACCCTGTGTCACGTATTCATCCGCTTATAAAAATGTGGTTAATGGCATTTATTGTCCATACATGAAAAGTTGTGCCGAGCAGCAACCTAATCCACAGAAGGGTTAATGCTGAGCAGCAATTATGCAAATGGGAACCTGGTAACTGCCTTTGGGCAGATCTAGAGGAGGGTTATTTAGGCCCAGTTCTCATCCTGCTCAGTGCCCTGTCGTGGTTGTCCGAGAGCGTCTTATTGATTCTGGTTATTCTGGTTATTTGACTTTGGCATTGTGTTTGACTTCCGCTGACCTTGGCTATTCCTGACTATTCTTTGGTCCGTTAGTCCGGCCATTCTAAGGTCCGGTATATGTTACCTATCAGTCCTCTGTGTTACACAATTCTACGTGCTGGATCATTCTGTAATCCTGACATTACGACAGGGCTATAGATCCTGTAGAATTGTGTAAGCACATAGCTGCTTGTGAAAGGAAACTGGAGGAAAATGATCACTGCATGGATCAATTTGCTTAGGCCTTCAGTACGCTTCTTACCTGAACAGCGCATCTGCGGCCTCACCTCCACCTTGTGTACCTCCAGCTATCGTACACAAGGCACCTACTATCTCCCTATATCCTCCCCTGCATTTTGATGGTAATATTCAAGAATGCTGGGGATTTATTAACCAAATGGAGTATCATTTTGATGCCTCACCGGGATCTTTTCCCACAGACAGAGCTAAAATTAGTTACCTAATGAATCAATTAAAAGGTAAAGCTTTAGCTTGGGCCAATCCATTATGGGAGAGTAATAGGAGTGTGGCACACAATTACCAGGAGTTCCTTACGGAATTCAAACTTACGTTTGAACCTTTAGGCAGAGAGGATGACGCCTCTACTGCCCTGATGCACATCAGACAAGGGAACCGGTCTATCTCGGAATATGCCATAAAATTTCGTACCCTAGCTTCCGAGGTAGACTGGACTAATAGTGGGTTAATCTTTGCATTTAAAAAGGGATTATCTGAAACTATGTTAGATGAGATTGCCGCCAAAGATTTACCCAAAAAGCTTAATGAATTTATCACTTTTGTCATGCAGATTGATAATAGATTAAGAACCAGAGAAGCTACTAGAAACAAGACCAGACGCATGAGTATGCATTTAGCACCCTGTTTCTCCAGACCTATTGTCCCTGAAATTCCTGTACAGTCTGAACCCATGCAGCTGGGGGTCACTAGACTGTTGGAAGCAGAAAGACAATATAGGAGAAAAGAAGGCCAATGTCTATACTGTGGTAGGAAGGGACATATGAGAAACAATTGTCCCATACATCTGGAAAACTACCGCACCTAAGCACCTTAAGGGGACAGGTCTTAGGTGTAATGGAAACGTCCTCTGAAAAGAATAAAAATAGGTTTCTCCTTGACATTTCTATCGCCTTTGACAAAAATAACATTTCATGCAAAGCCCTGATGGATTCAGGAGCTGCTGGAAACTTCATCGACGTTCAATTTGTCAAAAGTAATACTATACCTATCAAAGAGAGACTATCATCCCTAGCTGTTGAAGCTATTGATGGGAGACCACTCTCACAACCATTGATAACTCATGAAACCTTACCCATTAATATTTCCATTGGTGCCTTACATAAGGAAGAGATTATATTTCAGGTGATTGCATCTCCTTCTTGTCCTATTATATTAGGATTCCCATGGCTTAGTAAGCATTACCCTCATATTGACTGGGCTAATGGGGAAATATTAGAATGGGGTAAGGATTGTAATGAAAGGTGCATATTGCATGTCACCAAAAGATTGGGCACTATTGAATTAACCACTAGTACACCTCAAAATCCAGAGATCCCTATACAATACCAAGACATTAAAGAAGTATTCAGCAAGACTCAGTCTAATAGTCTACCTCCTCACAGACCATATGACTGTTCCGTTAACTTACTACCAGGCGCTATGCCACCTAAGGGAGGAGTCTATGCTCTATTTCAGTGATGGCGAACCTTTTTGAGCCCGAGTGCCCAAACCGTAATACATGCCAATTTTTTTTCCCTCAAAGTGCCAAAACGGCATTTAAACCTGAATACTGAGGTTTAAGTTTCGAAAAAACAACTCATACAGTTGTCCGAACTAATTAACATCTCTGTGTGTGTATTTAGCAGTCTGTCTGTGTGTACTTAGCAGTCTGTCTGTGTACTTAGCAGTCTGTCTATGTACTTAGCAGTCTGTCTGTATTTAGCAGACTGCTGAATACACACACAGACTGCTGAGTACACAGTCTACTGAAAACACACACAGACTGCTAAATACACACACACACACACACACACAGACAGACTGCCAAGTACACACAAACAGACTGCTAAATACACACACACAGACTGCTAAATACACACACACACAGACTGCTGAGTGTACACACACACACACACAGAGACTGCTGAGTGTACACACACACACAGACTGCTGAGTGTACACACACAGACAGACAGCTGAGTGTACACACACACACACACACACACAGAGACTGCTGAGTGTACACACACAGACAGACTGCTGAGTGTACACACACAGACAGACTGCTGAGTGTACACACACAGACAGACTGCTGAGTGTACACACACAGACAGACTGCTGAGTGTACACACACAGACAGACTGCTGAGTGTACACACACTGCATTGAGGGGTACATTGTATGTGTTTGTGTGTGTGGGTGGGGTGATGTGATGTGTGGGTAGGGTGATGTGTGGGTGTCTTTGTGTGGGGTGATATGTGTAGGGCAGGGGTACTGTGTGTATGTCGTCCCCCCTCTTCCCCCGTCCCACACTCCGTTTTCTCCCCCTATACCTCCCTCAGTTCCCCCCCATAACTCTCCCCCTCAGTTTCCCCCATCTCTCCCTCAGTTTCCGTCCCATCTCTCCCACTCAGTTCCCCCCCCATATCTCTCCCTCAGTTTCCCCCCATCTCTCTCCCACTCAGTTCCCCCCCATCTCTCTCCCTCAGTTCCTACATCTCTCTCCCTCAGTTTCCCCGGCCCTATCTCCCACTCGGTTTCCCCATCTATCTCCGCTCAGGTTTCCACACCCCCATCTCCTCTCCCTCAGTTTCCCCATCTCTCTCTCCCACTCAGTCCCCGCCTCTCTCCCTCAGTTCCCCATATCTCTCCCTCAGTTTCCCCATGGCCTCCCCTAAGTTCCCCCCATATAGCTCTCCCTCAGTCCCCATGAGAAACCTCCTCAGTTTCCCCGGCTCTCCTCAGTCCCCAGTTCTCCTCCAGTTCCCCATCTCTCTCTCCCGCTCAGTTTCCCCATCTCTCTGCCTCCTCAGTTTCCCCCAGCCCTCTCTCCTCCCCGGTCCCCATGGCTCTTCCTCGGACTTACACCATCTTTCTCCTACTCAGGTCTCCCCATCTCTCTCTCTCTCTCAGTTCCCCTGCCCCTGCCAGGCTCTCCCTCAGTCCCATCTCTCTCTCCCACTAGGGTCCCCCTCCCCCTCCTTGAGCTCTTACCTTGTAGCATGGCCGAGCGCACCGCGGTACAGGAACTTATGTGTCCTGTACCCAGTGGACAGGAAGTGCTCTCTCTGTGAGCACTTCATTTCCGGCCGCCCGGGTACA